CTTAACTAGATGGTCCTTAGTATGAATAGGGATTCAGCGGTCGTGGGCAATAAATTTAAACACACTTGCATCAAAATTAATCAATTTTTATACATAACTTAATTTCATAATCTCAAATCAGATAATTTTTGTCAATATTTTTTATTTTCCTGATTTGAGAAGCATCTTGCATATGTTGAGGAGGGGGTCTCTGTTAATTCGTCAACACTCCCTCAAGCCTTTCAAAAACCCTCCAAATGGCAGTGGGTTTTTAGGAAAGCTGGTGATCACCACTAAGTGTTGGGCTGTACTGTGAGCTGAATGCTTTGAGGTAGATTCAGTGTTTGTTAAAGTGGGTCTACTTTTATGACTCAGTTTTTCCTGCAGCAGTGAAAGAGCAGCATATTCTGCTTCACTTATGCATTTAGATCTGACCAGTAGTTGCCTAGAGCTGAGTTCATGTATTTGAAAAATACTGTTCTCCCTGCACTGGATCCTGAAGGGTGTTTGCCTCAAGAGCTGTGTCCAAGTCTCATCTTCTGAAATGCTTCTGTACCATATTATTACTTTTTTTGCTGTTGCTTTGCAGGACAGAGAAATGCAAGGTAAGAGAATAATATTAAAATTGTTTGTACCTCTTGAGACTGATGCACATTCCATTAAAATACATTTTTGTATTATAGTTACTCAGTCTTCTTCATGATACAAACCAGGGGTGGAAATGCTGCTGAGACTGGGGTGCTACACTTTGACCAGTAGGAGCGAGGCCAAATATGGCTTCTGGGGGATGATTGCTAAAATACCAGACTCAGGTTCCACCAATCCAGCCCACTGGAAATCCTGCTGCCTCTGTTTCTTTAGAATGAAAAGGCAAATAAAAAGCATAATAATTCTGAAAGGACTCAACTAGCAGTGACGAGGACTTGACTAGAGGCTTTATAGGGCTTGCCAATAAAACGGTGCCTCAGCTCTGGCACTCACGGAGGGCAGGACAGGGTTGGCATAGGGCTGGACCTGCCCAGCCCAGTGACTTCTTGCACTGACAGTCCCTGTGCTCCACACAGGAAGTGGTAAAGGGCTTTTCCTGCTTCCCAGCTCACCCAGCCCTATAACATGGCCCCTTTCTCTTGTGCCTTCCTCTAGCTGCAAACTATTGCTCTGCATTAGGGTGAGCACCCTCCTGGGCTTACTTCTGTGGTGTTTTCTCTGGGCTTCCCCCCTCCACAGTCCCACTGTATTTAGACACAGTTAGTGCAACCTCTACCACAAATAGAAACTCCCTTATGGTATGCCTCCTTTTCTAACAAGAAATAACTTTCCAGAGCACTGAGTGGCCAAGCCCAGACCTTGCACCAGGAGGGGTTTGCTACGTGCCTTCTTGCTTCTCTGCTTTTCCGACTTTTGTAAGGACTCTCTACCTTGTAGCTTCTGCCAAGAAACTTTTGCCTTGATAGGGGGAAGCATAAGAAAGATTGCCTGCAGGCAGACAGACAGACAGAATGATAACTGCGTTTTGGTACAGAGGTTGGGCTCTGCAGTCTCTGGTTTAAATATTTGTAAGAGGAGTCAGCAGCCTTTTCAAACTGGTTGCTTCCAGGGGACCTAGAAGTGTAGTGGGGATTGCAGGGGTAAAGTCTGGTCATAGATTACTCATAAAAAGAAAGAAAATTTAGTACAATAATTTAAATACTAGCTGACAATTTTTTTTTTGCCAAGTTTTAGTTCAGCAGAGTTGAAATGGCCAAGTTTTCAATGCCAACAATTGAGGTTTGTAAAGGAAATACCAAACCAACCTTGGCGGAAAAAGAGGCGGACGTTAAATTACAGAGCAAAGATTGCATTGGCTCCATAGGTGGAGAAATAAACAAGTTATGAAAAAGAAAATCAGTTGGAGTTTTTCATTTTGATTCTCGTGCCTAAGCAGAAAAGGGTAAGATTTACCAACAATGGCTGAGCTGAAGCTGACACAGAAGCTGTGTGGAATCGCCGGTGAGGGGAGCAGGGAAGGGGACCAATACAGGGAAGTGCTGCAGAAATGCCCAGAAAGTGTTGGTCGGTCTCATCATGTAACGACTTAAGAAGAGCTCAGACCACAAATTCTTGACTGTTCTTAATTTAGGAAGTGCCCCAAAGACACATTCTTTAATGCAGACAATATTTTTTCTTGGATACAGTGTTGACAATATACACTTGTCATTGCACATTTGTCTAATTTTTCCTGTATGATGTCTAAGAGCATTCCCCTGAATTCCTGCAGCAGCAGCAGGCCAGCTAAATTCACCGTGAGCTATCCTCCATCCAAGAGGCATTCCACTGAAGTTGGAGAAACTATTTGCTGTGTGTGGACTGCCAAGTCACACAGGAGCAAGGACAGCAAACTCTTCCCCTGAAATATTATTTCAGTCGTTTCAGGTTTATAAAGGACAGAGGAAAACATTACCCATTGCATGGGTAGACTTATTTGTCTACTCCAGAAATCTGAATGTATTTCACCCAGAAGTGACAGTGGTGCCTGAAAAACCACTTCTCAGAATTAGAAGGTTGAATTTGTAGTGCAGCTTGCCAAGCCCAGGTTTCCACACCCAGTAATGGATGGACATCAGAGAGGTCACAGTACAGAAATGCCAAAGCATAGGTGCTGGTTCTTGTACAGGACCAACCTAGAGAAAACTTGGTTGAGTAAATCCTAGACCACGTACAACCCTTACAGATGGGCTGTATGTGTAGCTAGTGGCAGAGACTGGCAGTCAGTGGCCATAATCTCCATACTGCTTTCTCCAGATTACCTATGAACGAACACCCTACTGTTTTTAACTTGCTAGCTCAATGCTTTCCTGTTCAATTAAGCAGATGTCATGCTACAGCAGAGTATTTCTGGAGCTTCTGCTGTAAATTATTCATACCTGGAAAAAACCCAGCCCCAGCTAACACTTGAGTACTCAATCACATACAGCAGTCACCTATACATTCCTTTTGTAATGATTGTAGTCATTTGCAATAAGCTGCTGCAATTTTCTCACTCTGTGCTATGTTTCTCTGTTCTTTCTCAGTTCTTCATTTCTGCAAAATTGTGTTTAATAAATTTTAAGTAAATATGAGAGTGTTCTATCATGTGCAAATATGTAAATCTTGTAATGCATAGGAATACACAGACTATTCCTGCTCTTAGAATCATAGAATAGTTAGGGTTGAAAAGGACCTTAAGATCATCTTGTTCCAATCACCCTGCCATGGGCAGGGATACCTCACACTAAAATCTTCCTTAATCAATGCATGAACTTAGTAGTTTTAACCTACCAAATAAAATTAGAGAGAAGTTTTACTGATTAAATGATCTGTAGCAGCAGGAATACATTCTTTAGTTTTCCTTATATGCTTCTAGCTAGAGGTAAATAAGATATCATTGCAGCACCATTCACTTTGTTATAGCTCTGGCTGTGTCAGCATTTATATTACAAACCTCTTCTTCCAGGGGTTTATAACTCAGCCATAAAATGCACTCCAGTCTGAAACTTGGCACACAAGGTCTGAGTCTGGCATGAAGTTATTTTACAAAAAGGTAGAACAATGCATTAGCTGTTTGGCCGTATCCAAGTTATAAGTGTTTAGGATCTCAGCAACAGAGTGGGCCTACATAGAAAAGCCAGCAAAGAAGTGCCCAACACATCGCTCCGGCCTTGCCCTTCTAGGATCACCATAAAATCCAAGCGTGTCAAAGCTTAAAACGTTTCATGAGATTATGCACACTGAGAAGTTTGATTCAAATGGGGAAGTTTCAGCAGTCAGTGTTGAGCATTGTATTCCTACTGTTCCCACTGCTCCTGCTGTGAGCAGAGCTCAGCTGAGCTCCCGAATGGCTTTTCATGGTTCACAATCAAACCCCAGACCTGCTGGGATGGTTAGGATGTTGAGGAATTATTGCTGTTTCACCTGCACTTGTACCTTCATTTCCCAGACTGTAAGTATTGCCTCTCGGGGCCCGACTCTTCCCTTCCCTTCCCTTCTCTGCTGCCCTGGAGCAGGAGCCTGGACATCTCTTCAGACACCACTCCCTGCATCCCAGGGCCATTGCAGAGATCTGGGCTGCCTTCCCCTCGGGGTGGTGGGGGTGGGGGGGGTTGAGGGGGAAGGGCCCTGCAGCCAGAGCTGGCCTTTGATTTCCTATCAATCAACCACACAGGAAAAGGTCCCATAAACAGCAGAGCTGTTAAAGTCATCGGGTTTCACATTCGGAGACTGAATTTGCCATGCCCTTCCCTTGGGGCTGTTGGGAATTTATAATGTTACAGTCCCCGAGGCCAGGTGTCCTTCCTCAGCCACAGCCTTCGGCTGGCGATGGGGAAGTAGTGCCCCCAGCACACAGTCACAAACCTCCTCCTCCGCAGTGGTTACCTACCCGAAGTCCCCACTCAACGTTTTTAAGAGGCCTTCTGGCATTATTGCAGGGCTTTCTCCTGCTAGTCCTGGAGCAGAACTTGGCTAAGTATACATCCTTGCATTTGCCACAAAATTGACATTTCCAGAGACAATGTATTTAAAGGCAGATACTAATAGAAGAGCTGGCAAAGCATCTTTTCAATGCAGCACACCTACTCCCTGCTGTTGCTCTGTGCTCCACCTCACATTTTCTCCCCTAGTTTCAAGAACGTGTTTTGGCTCTCTTTTCATTCCCAGCTGACCTGAGGAGCTGACTGAGCACTAGCCAGTTTTTAGTGAACTAAGCAAGTTTGCCAGGTTTGGTATACACTCACTAACTGGCAATTATAGAAAACGTTTAGAGCATATAACGTACAATAATATATAGGTTCTGAGTGATTCTGTTATTAACCATTAAAAAACACACTTTATTTAAATAAAAATAGAAAGGCTGATGAGATTTTATCTAGAATCCATCTTTAAAGCATAGGCATGAAATGTGGTTTTCAAAGATTAACTCACTTTCATCTTACGATATTTCCTTTTGGGAAGCCTCAACCCTTTGGGTTCTCCATTTCTGCACTGCAGATGGTGGAAGATCATGATATTGATTGCATGTGTTTAAACATAAGACATTTGCTCCTGTATCTTTGATCCAAGTAATATAAGACTATACTTAGGGAAAAGGAAAACAAAGCACGAATGTGGTTTTGAGCATTTACATGTAAAAGCATAATACTAATAACGCTATCACCTTGGAGTATAACTCAAATAGACACCTAGTATTCTATAAAAATCAATTTAAAGAAAAACAGACACTGTGTTCTGACTTGTTTAAGCCAAAGTTTGCATTGGATGTACATTCGGGGCATATTTTGCTTGTATTGTTCAGGTATTTATGTCATTTGGAAGGAGATGATTTTCAGTTGCCAGCAATGTAACTGATCTTCCAAACTCGCTGACAATCTTTATCACAGAAATAGAATTCCAACAATTAGGTGAGTAAGTCACTGACACAACCAATTCAATTAAATATTTGGACGCTATTCTAAAATTTATGTTAACTGATAGTCACGATGTTTTGCTGTCTCTGGGAAACATTAAGGAATGGGAATGGAATAGATCTTAATATTATAATATGCAAGCCATTATAACAAGGATTTGGGGAGGAAAATAGGCATATAATGTGATTCAGTTTTTTTTAAACTGAGACAAACCTGCACATTGCACACTTACAGAACTCAGTAGAGTTACAGTCATGTAACAACCTTCCTCCTAAATTCAGGATAAGACTGTTTCATTAGCTTTTTTTTCTGGCTAGGAAAGGCATATACATTTTGTGAGCATAGTAGAGGCACACATTAAGTGAGTATGTTTACCCTTATATTGGAAAAGCAGGACAGTTGTTTCTGTAGTGGTACCTTTGTAAAAAAACCACAGATAACTAAAGTGCCTGTTGTCATCAACTTCAGTTCCTGAAGCAAAAAGATAACAGAAGCACCCTTTCTTTCAGAAAGCATCCTGATTTCAGACAGCATCCTAGCTGTCTGAAAAGTAACATTAGAAGAAATGTTGAACCTGTGAGTCTAAATAAGAAAATACTTTCATGGCAGTGAAACCAAATCACTAGGAAATCTTATGAAATATTTGTTCTGGTAAATTGTTAGACTGAGTCTGAAATTGGAAGAGGTAACTCCTTTGCTGTGATGTTATTTGTTTGTGGTTATGGAGACAAAATGTTTTTCTCGATGCTGAAATGACTGGCAAAATTTGAAGAGGGAAAATATAGGTCTGAAGTGACAAATTGTATGAAAAAAAACTCATCAGCTGTCTTTGAATGTATGAGTGCAGGAAATAGTCTGACATTTTAAAGACAATATTTCTTTTTCTACCCTGAGGTTTTTGTCTCATTGGACTTGGTGGTCATGTCACTCTGAGCTGGAACGAGAGAGCTGAGGGACAGATTTTTCTGCCTTTCCACCAAGCAGCTGCATTGGGACCCAGACTTTTCCTCCCTGTCCCACTAGCAGTGCAACAGCTCCAGCCAAAGGAATCAGTATCATCAGGAGAAATAAAGCCTTGTGGCTTCTGTGGCCTAACAAATCCTTGGTTTTATCCAGACACCCAAAGGAAAGCCATCTGGGTTATGCTGGTTGCAATTTGCTTATGTCAGCAAGTGAGCAGAGCCATCAGCTGAGACCAGCTTTTGATTGCTACCAGTCTGCAATATGTGAAAGATTCCCTCTTCCCTTAACAGTTCCTAAGCTGTTCAATTCTTATGCTTTATCTCTGGCTCTGTTTAGGGAAGGTGTATGGAAACTAATTTATCTTGCAGAGGTTGGCTCTCTCCTTAACATCTGCAGGCCCACATTAGCACCTTGAAAATCATATTGGGTAACCACTGAGTGTCTCCACCAGGATCAAAAGCTATCACAATTCAGTAACATGCTTTCATCCATCACAAACATATGATCTCACATTTTCTTTCTGGTCCATGATTTCTGAGAGGTTTATTTGTCACAGAAGTGTTATTTGAACCACAGTCTGGACTGACAGAAAGACAGCACTGGTTTGCAATTTATTATACACAACAAAACCAAACGTGTTAGAGAAGGGAAAAGAGCTTCTAATTATTATCTTCAAAGTTGAGAAACAGTTTTTATTTTAAAGGCAAATTCAGCTAAAGATTGCCTTCTGGCAATTTTAGGTTAAATGAACAGACACTTTGTGGTATGGATCATGCAAATCATTGGCATGTTCTTTGAAAAAGTTTGGGTCACCATCTACCAAAAAGATAACATCATCATCACAGTTCAATAATCTTTAGACAAGAGTGAATTAAGCTGAGTTTGAATCAAATCCCTTGTGAAGGATAGTGTTCATATTCCCAGCGATCAGGTCTGGTGGTGTGGTCTTCCTCTATGTCTTTTTCTCCCAACTCCAAGCTCACAATGACAGTATATTCACATTTCCACCATGACGACGTTCACATGATTGCATACTGAGTGGCCACCAGCCCGTAAGTCACTTAAGAATACAGAAACTAAGGCAAATTGGATCGGACTCATCCCCTTCAGCCCCTGGTCCTGTCCCTGGTGTGTTTAAGAGACACATTAGAGACTCATGGAGAAAGGGACAGCTACAGAATGAGTCTCCCCAGTGCCCTCATATTTTATAACAATAAGTATTTTAAGGAATTTTACAATAGGAAGTTCAATCTGGAGCACTGGGCTCATCACCCATAGATGGACATAGCCTCTATGACAGTGTTTAATCATATATCCCAAAACTTTTTTGCACTCAGCCTATACTGCAGGCTATAATCCTGTGACAATAAATTTCAGAGATTAATTATGAACTGTAAGAAAAAGGACTTATTTTTGATTGTTATAAACTTACTGTTGGATAAGCACATTGGAGGCTCCCAAATCTGTTGTGACAAGTAGCATCTAGTTGTCCCTTGTTCATTTTTCCACAAACCATTCATAATTCCATAGATTTCCATTACAGTCCTATAAAAGAAGAATTTTCTCATTTCTGAAATTGAAAGTCCTAGCTACTACAGGCTCCCTATAGAAATGCTTTTCCAGACCTCTGATCTTCATCATAAACCTTTTATTCTTTGCAATTCCACTGTGTACTGTCTGAAATGAGATTTCAGATATGTGGCATTTAAGAAGCAGGAACACTGAAGACAGTGGCACTCTGGTTTCTGGTCAGCTTGTTCTTTCTCTCTTAACAACTCCTCCAGACTGCTTGTATTTTCGGCTGTTGCAGAACATTATGCTGGTGTGTTTGAACTCGGCTGTCTCAGAAACATCCAATGTTTTGAGAGACACGGGCCTGTTTTTTCTAGACAGGGGAAAGTTTTCTGCTTATAGAAGCCTTAAACTTACAATGATTATTTCAACCAAAAAGCATGAGGCCAGTATGCAGCTGCAGATAGAGCTCTCTGATGTCATATTGGCTTCTTGCTAGTGTAGTCATAGGTGCATGGGAGAGCAGGATACCAAGGATTTGGAGGAACAGTCCATTTAAAGTTTTTCTCTTCTTTTGCACTGTAGAGCAAGTGTGATCTCACTTGGTTTAACAAGTAAACATGTGTTTTCTGGGAGAAATGGCTTCAGATTACAATGAGAATTTGATCCTATGAAAACATTTTATTAATTTTGTTGTTCAGAGGAAGGTGGTGGAGCCCATATTCTTGACCAAATCAGCCTACCGTTAACCAAATTTAACCCTTCACCCCAGTAAAAAAGAAAGGGTAATGTAAATATTGCTTAGTCTCATTTTCCATATTCCCAGTGTTATTATTTCAGTGTCACATGGGCCCTTCATATATATTTAAAGCTGAGAGGAGCCCTTTGACTCTGCCCTTTTTGTTATTTCAATGTCCAGGAATGAAATACACTGTTTATGTGACTCTGGGCTTTGCACTTGTTCATATGCTGTGTATACTGTTCATAAGCTGGGTTTATAAAATGGAATGACCTCAGCCACCTAGTTTTCAAGCCCCAGGTCCAGATGTTGACACAAATCCTTCAGTCTCAAGCTCATTTCTTCTTTTTTTTAAATGTTATTGAAAGTTTTTATTTTGATTTTGCAATTTTATTTTCTTGTTATTTAGAAACATTGAAAAATCTCAGTGTCCAGCCTTTTCCTTCACTGAGACTTTAAAAATCCCTTAGAGGCCACAATTTCTCCTTTTCTAATTTATTTATTTATCTAAGAAGTTGTCCCTTATCCTTATAGCAGAAGACAGAACTCTCTTAGTTAAGATACTGCAGATTCTGCCCTAATATGAGAAATGCAATACATTTGGACTGAGACCTGAAAGCACCTGTATTGCCTAGATGAAGCAAACAGAAAAACCTAGTGGAAGTAACTCTTACTCTATAAAATGCTTTATATTTACAATACTGAAATTTCACGATGTCCCAGAATTCCCTTCCTACACACATACACTCCCCCAGTAAAGAAATGCTATCCTTGTTTTTTATTGAAACCATTATACTATGACATTAGCTCTTAGCTTGGGATGAATTAGAAATCAGAATCTGCCATTACACCAGACCATCTAAAGCTTTCTCTTCTCTCTTCTTTTATCATTATATAAGAATATTGTTCTTCTCTTTCTTATCACTTGCTTTTATTCAAATGATATTTTATTTTATTTTATTTTTCCTCTGAGAAGAGTTAAACTTCTTGAATTTTTTATTCTCCATTTGTGAAATAAACCCAGACTACCTTGGAGGAAAGTTTTAATAAAATGAGTGGTTTCAAGGTAGGAGGTCATGCTTGTAGGAGGTCTTGAGCTGGCCTCTGGATACAAGAACCTGCCTGGGAGCTGGGGGAGGAGAACAGCCTGCAAGGGAGAATACTTTGGAGAAGGCAGTAAAAGGTCAGTCTGTATGCACATGGCTGTGTTTGCCACAGGTGCAACATCTTTGTATATCATTGTATTTATGCTCCCAGCTTTGGCCCCAACACCTGATATGTGCTGTTTGCAGGCTGTGGGATTAACAGACTCCAGGAGTAGACAAAGCCAGTAAAGAGTCAGTAGAGGTACTTTGAGTAGGAGCAAAACATGAATGCTTGTGCAGAACCATGGCAATAGTCATGAAAGGAAGAAATTTAAGGTAAATCTTTTTTATTTACTTTCTTTCTCTTGCTCTTAACACACACGCGTGAAATGGCAAGGAGTGAGACTTCAGCAAAGAGTGATGCTCAAAACACAGATTCGTTAGGTAAGCATCAGAAGAATAGCCTGTTTCAGGCAGGTGGGACTGCCCGAGAGGAAAACAGAGATTTATACTAAGCAAATGAGAAATCTGGCATCCTTTATGAATCTGGAAACATTAAAGGTTCCCCAGTAAATGACAGGGTCATTTGTGAGATATGTGCTTTCAGCTTGCAGGAACGATCAGTGAAAGAAACAGTTCTAAATCACAGCTAAATGCCTCTATACTAGTGATAGCCACTAAACAGTCCTGGGGGG